AAAAAAAAGATATTCTTCAGTGTACCCTGGGCTACTTTGTCTATTGAATGTGATCAATTACACCCTGCCTGGATCTTCTGGACCATGTTTACAGAACTGTTGTGTACAAAACCAATGTCCAGTTGAACGTGAGTGACAACTGTCTATACAGAAGTCTAAAGTATTCATAATATAGAAATAAAAGAAATATTCTAAACACACTTGAATTAAACGCCTTTTGTTGTTATTAAACATTCCGAGAGAAAATTATCAATATTTAGAACCAGAGAGGAATGGTGGTTGTTTGAAGCAGTCTACAAATTGAGGCAGGAGATGGTGTAGAGCCTCTACCAGGTACTGGTAATGTACTGGCTTATGGTCAACATTATTGCAACCATCCATGCACACACCCATATATAAAGGGATCTTAGTCTCTACATTTCTTTAATTTGCCATTATTTGACCACCTTATTTTAGTTTATGAATCACGAAAGCTAACAATATGTGCATTTGTGAAGCACAAAAACAAATATAAAGTTTTGCAGTTATTTACAAAACTGTCCAAATGGCTCCTGTAAATACATGAATTTTACATGCATCTGTAGATAGGCACCATTAATTTTTTTTTTTATTAATATAACTATTAATAAAAAGATAATACAATTAAATTGAGACTTCCCCTATGAAAAATGAAGGTACAGCTATGATTCAGTTGTTACTTACATACTGGGTAGTAAACTTTACTTAATCATATTTACTTGAGTAACTTTGAGAAAAAGTAAATGCTTTAAGTAATAATGCACAACATTGTCTATTTTTACTTGACTGATATCATGAAGTATCCCTATTCTCTGAGTAGAATTTTTACACACTGCCAGTAACTTCTAACATATTACCTATTGTAGTTATTGTTTTTTTTTTAAGTTTTACATAAAAAAGAAAGATTTGTTATGCCTTTAAATCTCTCTTAATTTGCTGTTACTCAGAAGTGATAATATTTATTTATATGTTTTTCATGTTTGTTTTGAAAGGTTATTTATTATACTTTTTAAAGCCTTCCAACTTGTTATATACAGTAGGAATAAATATGAAATACTGCCTCAGGGACTACAGACTATATGCTTGTTATGCAATATTAGGCTGTTTATATTCTGATGCTATTTTAAAACTAGAAGAAAAACACTTGTCCTTAGTTTGATGCCACCAATTTCATCTTGCAGCATGGTATTACATCACTTCTCGTGATTAGGCTTCTCTTTAGGAAGGCTGGTTCGGGACCTCTTGCACAAAAACACATTTTTGCGACTTAGACACTGATTAGACAATAGGTTAAAAACTAATTTTATCATCATTGCAGATTAGGTGCTAAAAGAGCCACTTTATCTCAACTTGGAGCAGAAATTATTGTGTTCTGCATCATTTGACCAGTGGCTAACTGACAGGTGGCGTGTTGTTTCCTGGCGAGGCACAGCTTGGTAAATGTAGCTGCTTCTTGGTGTGGGATGGTAATCGCTGTTCTACATACAATGGTGATGCCCAATCTTTTACAAGGTAAGGGAGGCGGGAACCAGAATTTAAAAGGATTTCACTGACATACAAAAATCAACCGAGAGACCACTTTGGTTATGGTTATGATGAAGGAAGTCTAAAAGTTGATTCTGCATGATATTGGCCTTTTACGTTACCAGAGCTGGCACCCAACCTTTTATTGCTGCATGTGTAATGAGAACATGTTTAAATATTGAATTTTGTCATGCTACCATCAGTTACTCACTACTTAATTAACATTACCAAATAGTTTTCTTCTTCTATTTAAGCAATCCTCTCATGGCTAATTTGTCCTTGACTAAAAATATGTTTGAAGTAGTGCTATTTTCCCTTCAGTAGGAATTGTAGGTACCTGATCGCTGGTCCTGTTAAAGGTGTAAAAATGTTTTGATCTTAAAAGATTTTGCTAATATTTACAAACTTTATTCACTCAAAGAAACATGTTTATACAATTACAATGTGATCTAAACGCAGAATTATTTTTATTTTTTCATATAAATATATAAGCATTCTTAAAATAAAATAATAATAATAATAATAATAAAGAGATTATATTTAAACCAATATCTTTCTTAGGTGAACAGTTAATGTGGTTGTTTAGTTTTTTGTTGCATAATTATTTTCAATGGTACTTGAATTTTATTCATTCTTCTTTTTTTTATTATTTTAGGCTCCTCTGGCCTTTAATTTTTCATTTCTTTGAAAATAGGCAGACAGGAAATGGGAGTATAGAGAGTTGGAAGACATTCAGCAAAGGTCACCAGGCCAGGACTCTAAACTGTGACAGACGTGTTGAGGACCAAGGCCTCTGTTCATGGGTCAGCACCACCGCGCCCTAGTAATTATTCTTGTGATAAATCTACATATTTTTTTTAAGCTTTCATTTTAGGCATTTTAGATATAAGTAGGGGAGTAACAAGGATGATCAGAGCTGTGAGAACCACAGAATTCCTTTCATAGCTGTAGGCAGTGCCTCAGTGTCCCCCAGGCAATGCCTTAAGCACTCATATGTCCTTCAAATTAAGTTTTTTGTGGTTCCTTATTTAAATCTTTTGTTGTTCTCTTCATATTTGTCCCCAAATGAACATGGTTATTAGTAACTTTTAATAACCATTTTTTGCTCAAGCACCTATTGTTTTTTTGGGGGGGCTTGATTACAATTTTATGTGTTTTTTTCTGTAGAATACCATGCAGTCTTACAAGCAGAAAGAAGTTGCATTTATTTTCATTCTTCAACATAGTTATTGTACATCCAGTGGCTATCTGACTGAACCTTTTTTAAATACTGGAAACCTTACTAGACAGAGAAAGAACATTTTAAATGTAGGAATGATTACAGTTTTTAACTCTTTTTCTTTTTTCTTTGTACAGGTAGATATGGATGATTATCTAATAATATATAAGATAAATACAAAATTAAACCTCCATTTTATTTTATTTTTTTGTTTTTTTGCAAAGGCCAAAGGTTGGAAAACTGCCACAAACATTATTTTTCACAAAGTTGCACTCTAAGGAAGGATTTATGTTTGGAATGATTTTGGATAATAAATACAATCTATGCAAGTCATTTAAAATCATCATTAAAAAATAACCTGTAAACATTAAGTAACAAATTAACTATATTATATCATGCTTTCTTGAAAACAGTAGCTAATAATAAGCATTTCTAATAACATTTACCAAAAGATTTTGGACAGTACATCTCATTGTGCACATGTGCCAGGAAACAACCACACTACTGCACCGTCAGAAGAAGAGTGCAACGCAAAAAGAAAACAGAACAATGTTTAAAATAAGTTTTAATTCATTAAATAAATGTTTAAATGATCAAAGGTCTAGGTTTCTGTTTTAAAACGTTTGCAGTGATACTGAATATTCTGCTATTTAGATTTTTCTAAACTTTAGTAATTCACATTAGCAGGACCAATAATAATGGATGAAATCTGGGTGAATGGTGAATTGGAGGTTGCAACAACTAATTGTTTCTTATAACTGTAGACACTTTTTCAGAATTTGCTACAAGCACTTGATGTAATAATGATCCAGGGAGTTTCCTTGACATGGATTTAGAATTGCAGTTTCTATCCTTCAGCCACTTCTTATCTCCTGGATCACTGACAAATTGCTCTCAGGGAAAGTTTATAAACTATTCATATCCATTGCAGTTTTCATCCAGGCAAAATTTAGTTCTCAGACAAGAGGAAATCCAACAAATTAAATAGTTTAGAATATACGTAACACACCTTACACAGAACTAAAACTAGCATTTAGTTTGATTTTTCTGGACAATCCTCTATCCAGATAGGCCACACAGTTTAAATGGTGTGTAACATTATGCAATGCATAACATTTTTACCTTTTTGTTATCTCCTCAGGACACTAGACTGACATTTCCAATGCCATTTTGGAGATAATATTTTGTTACAGTAAGGAACACAGTTTAGGCCTTGAATTGATAAAGATCACATTATAAAGAACAGTTAGTCTTTACCAACAGAGAGGTCTGTTTGTCTCTCATTGTTTCTAAATGTGAAATCTAGAGTTAAATCACTTTATCTTGTTTTGCAACTTGGATAATAAATACTAACTGTGTAACATGTTTATATATAAAACTGTTTGATAATGATTATTCAATAGAAATGTATGTTTTTGGATGTGTATTTTGAAAAAGAAAGAACCAAAGAAGATTAGATTTCATTTGAGTGGCCCTTAGATCTAGTTAACTCCTAGAGCTTAATCCATTATATAACAAAGGGGCAAAAACATTCATTCATTACTTCAAATTACTTTCCTCCCTATGAGTAGAATTGTCTTTATTGATTTCCTTTATTAAGAGTGGAGAAAATTTCACTTCAATAAGGAACACTATTAGATGTTGAGAAAAGCTTTGGATACTTTAAATACTACATGCAAAGGAAAACTACGAATACACCACAAACAAAGCAGCCACAATGAAATAAGTAAAAGCCAAATACCTGCAGCAAGTAAGGAAGATTCTAAGAGGTTAGCTCACTGACAAAAACAAAGTAAATCAATCAGCTTGTGTAATGTGAGAAGCACAGCAGGCATACACGTTTTTGCATTTTGTGCCCTCATGCTTATGCAATTCACATTCTAATGACCGAACTGTCCAAAAATACTAAGTTAGGACATGCAAATGTGAATACTTGCAACCCACAAAGCCATTAATCAAACCTGAAATAAATTGTGGACATAGTTTGCATCTTTATTTGTCACATTTAAAAGTCAAATGTAAACCTGTTCGCCAAAATTTACTGTTTTGACAAAAACAGTAAATTGAGATAATGACTGCATTTAAACATACCTGGACTATCAGAAACATAATATATTGTCAAAAGAAAAAGCACATCTGGAGCAGTTAGCATCTTTATTACTTATCTTTCTTTAATGACCACTTCAAAACTGCCAGTATCACAAGTACTTTGACCAAACCATTTTTGCAAGCATTATTCTTTGTGGATACAATATATGTAAATCACCAGCAACATGGCCAATTATGCACATGCTTTTTCTTTCAGGAGTCCACAGTCATTTTCACAGTCTTCATTGGATTAGGCTCCATGTGGTTCTGGTGACACCGGTGGTCCAGCTTTTCTTCTCCCTGTCTACATGCAGAGTTATCACTGTCTGGTATCAAAAAGATGAAAGTGTCATTTAAAACCTTTAGGAGTTTAACAGATGTTTCCACTGAGGTGTAGTCAGTTGTGTGCGGGGAAAAGAAGCCTAAAGAGAGACTCCTGGGACTAGAATGATAGTGGAGCATTTCATGCAAGAGGGAACCTTACACAACTCCAGGAACTTGATAAAGATCTGAGTGATGTTAAAGGCAAGTTGGAAAATGCAGGATTTCAGGCAGAAGCGGGAAATATCATCAGGTCCTGGATCCTTCCTGATGTTTTAATGTCAGAGGACCCTTTGACATCTCTCTCAGTGGGCTTTAGAGCAGGTACGGGGTCATTGGTCTCCGTGTGTGGGTGTGTGCTTGTGTGTGTGATTAACTCAAATTGTAAATAAATCATGTTTATTTAAAATAGAATAAACTCATGCTATTTAACGGATTACAGTAATTTACCATTCAAAAAGAAACAAATGTTATATTGTTGGACGGTATATTGTACTAACTGCACATTATAGCAATAACAATTTAAATGGAAATGGTCACTATCTATATCTGTTACATGGATTTTAGTTAAGGATATATTTTGATAGCAGTTTTTTACGGGCAAAGCTGCTGCTGTCCACCGAATGAAGGTCCCTTATATTTTTCTTGTGGAGAAATAAAGCAGCAAGTCTCAATTTATTACCTTAATTAAATATTCATCAGGAGAAAGTCCTATAAGTTGCTAATTATCTTGGGTACCAGAAAAATACCCTTACAGCTAATGAACCCATTTCTTAGGCAGCCTGGATGCAAGTTCAAGTGCTATCAATCAAGTAGGGATTTCTATTCCCTTTAGCTTATTTTGATAACAAAAAAAGAAAAAAATACTTCCTTTGATAGCAGACATTCTGCTCCTCTGATACATTGAGAATGACAGAGCTGTATTAACCTTTCTGTCCTAATTAACGCTCTCTCCTAAGCTATCCAAGTGCTGCAGTTGGGATGTGCTCCACAGCCTAAGCTCCTACCCTATACAATGAGAACAGCTAAAAATAAGAATAGGAAGAATAGGAAGAGAGGGCCTTTTTCCCATAAAATAAATTAGTCTTGCAATATTATAAGAGCTATATTGAGTCAAATAAATCTTTTCTCTATTATGATTAATAATAAAACTTAATTGTTTATTTCAAGCTGGAGTAGTCTGACTTTACATTATTTCCTGTTTCTCAGACCTCTTTCTATTTTTAATGCAGCAAAAAGGTCAGACCCCCAAAGTTTCATTAGATTTGTTTAGCCAATAAAAGTCAAGCCAGATCCCCACAGACTGATTTGTAATAGCTTGTCAATGGTGCAAAAATTGTAGTTGGATTAAGTAAGATTATTTCAATGTACTCCTTTATATTGGTAGACTTTGTACTGCATTTGCAGATTACACATCATATATTGTATAGAAATAACTATAAAAACATTGAAAAAAATCTGTATGTTACCTCACTTAGCAAACAAAGCCACTGGGACAGGATCTTCTATCTTTGAGAGATGAAGGTATCCTATATGTTTTTGCAGATGTTATCCAACTAAAATAACCCTAACCCTGATATTGAGCCTGAAAGATTCCTTCTGATTATTCACACTAACCTCTCTTAGTTCAGACTTGGGGTCAGTTTTAAGAAAAACACCAGCATTTACCTCATTGCAAAAAAAAAAAAAAGGTATTTGTAAGAGGTTTATATTTTACACATGTATTGGAAGTTCGGAGTCTAACTCACAGTCAATATCAAAATATTTTTTATATTGCTTACCTTAAGTAGTATGATTTTAAGAAACCTTTTATTACGTGTTTTGGTTTTACTGGATGATCTTGGTCCATATTTCAGAAAACGAAATGCAGCAGAAATCCTCTGGCTTGAAAAGAAAGAAAATGGAGCCACATGATGACTAAAAGCACAGCAAAATAGGAACAAAAAATGCTACAATTTCCATTCTGGGGTTATGGTTAACACCATTCAATGACAGGGATATTTTACCAGAGTTTGTTATCTGAACTTGGACAGCAGAAAACTTACAAATTGAAGAATTTACAATAGGAATAATTTGGCAATAAGCAAGTGGATGTTAATAGATTGTTTGTAACTTCCTTTTGTAAAGTTATTTTGGAGAAGAATCCCTAAGCCTCCCATTATATAATGTCTAAAGCTCCTCAATTTCCCCTCCCCTTGTTGAACAGAACTGTATGTTACTCTCAACAGCTTTCTAATAGATTTTTTTAATGTAATTAAACTTGAGCCTACAAATCCCCTCGTCATTTTTAAGTAACATAATTACTTCTAAAATTTGGAGGTGTATGCGTTTTTACAGACGAAAGCCATAATCCCCCTCTGACATTAGCATTTGCTAAACTATAAACAACATACAGTAACAGTGGCATGAGCCTGTGTGCATGCCACAATTCTTAAAACAATTTAACTGCTTGTAATGCTTTCAGCCAAGTGTGGGTGTATTAAAGACTGCAGAGTTATTGTGAGCACAGCTTGACAGCTCTTCTTGATTTATTTATTAACCAAGTCATGCAGATGAATCTTGACACTCAGTACGAGTGTTGCTAATACTGTTGCTACCACCAAATTGTTACACGCAGCCTACAGGATCCAGATCTACAACAGACACTAGCAAGGCAGTACTATCAGTACACAATAAGCCAACATTATCTTACCATTAGAGTTTTTGCATGCTCAACAATTGGCATACACTCATTCTTAATGATGTGGTTTAAGAATTGCACTGCAATCCTGAGGCCCTAGAAGACCTTTCTAACCTCTGTATTGTCAGTTGCGTTTTAATGTTGTGGCTCAGTTTTAGTCTGATATGAACAGGGCTTAAGCTAGTGATTTTTAAAATGTATTTATGTTTAATAAATGTGGGAATTCCTTTGGTATTTGTTTGTTTTCTTTACCTAGTACCACAAATGAAACAGGGTCAAAATCCGTTCAGTATCCTTTCAGGAAATGTACATTTTCTCTTCTGTTTTGATAATTTTTTTTAGACTCTTTTCCATCTTCTTGTACCAATTTTGAGTTTGAGAGTAAATCTAAGAGGTAAGTAAAACATTTTAACAATTCTGCATTTATTAGTTTGATATAGTTGTAGAAATATCACAGAAAGTTGACACCCTGGATATTTTCCTTCAAGAATGTCATGAAAAATAGATTCTATGGCTGCAATTAAAGCTTTTTTAAAGTGTTTTTCTTCTTTACCTTACTTAAAGCCAAAGCACAATAGTACAAGCTGTGACAGAGTGGGTTTATTTTGCTACATTATAATACAAGTTGGCACATGTGTAGGCTCTCACAGTCAGCGTGATCTCATTAGAAAATACCTTTTGGTTTGTTGCTCTTGTTTTGGTCATATGTATTGCTTTTGACATGTTCAATTTTTAAAAGACTGTTTAAAAGACAATTCTACAAGAGCCCTTGTGGCTTTACATGATTTTTAGGATTCTTCAGAGGCAGGAAACTCCTCCCATGGGCACATTCAGATGATATATTTCCTGTTGATTTTGGGGCCACCCCTGCAACTGTGAATACCATTAAGATACTGGATAAAGTCCAAATAGTTTTCCCGAAAGGAGATAACTCTAAAGACTATATGACCCCCTTCTTTTTATGTCTGTGGTTGAAGTACATTCTCTGTGTTCATAGTGGCAACATTTTCCATTAAGAAGAACAGCCTGTTTCCTGTGTTTCAAGCCAAAATAGACATAAATCTAATAAATACCAAACTCAGATTTCAACTAAAGATATGTTCACAACTGTGAATGCTCAGAACTACTACTATGCTTTGGTGATTTACTCTAGTGCCACATGGAAACAGAAACTTTGATGGGTTGTTTGAGCTGTAATATGGGTTTTGTAATAAATATTGCCAAAAACATACGTTATAAATCTTCCCAAAGCATATATGGTTGCCATGGTGTATTTCAACTTTAAAAACCTTTGTGAAAAAAATTGTCTTATATTGACAATTCTAATATCTTCGATAATACTACACACCAGTGAGACATTTTTCCTTAAGAGTCTGTCTAGGAAAAAACTCACTGTTTACTACGGTGGCTGAGAAGTGCAAAACACATTTACAATTCAAAAACACATTTGAAGAAACAAAATTATATTTTATGAAACAAATGTATTTTTGGAAAAAAAGTTACAATTTTTAAAAACACATTTACAATTCAAAAACACATCAACAAATAAAAAACAAAATAACATTTGAAGAAACAAAATTATATTTTATGAAACAATTTATTTTTGAAAAAAAAAAATTTTTATTTTTAAAAACACATTTACATTTAAGGAAACAAATTTACATTTTAAATAAGTTAGATTTTAGGTGAGAGAAAGTTTCATTTTAGAGAAAAAAAAATACATTATAGGGAAACAAATTTACATCTAAAAAAAAATTGACCGTTCGGAAACACTTGTACAAGTGCAAAGACAAAACTGCAAGTGGCAAAACACATTTACATAGCCAAAAACAAATTAACAAAAGACGGCTACACGGAAAGGGAATGTCCCAGTGGCCGGATGTGACGTCACGATTACCCTGACTTGTAGTACAAACAGCTCAATCTGTAGTCCTCCTGCTTCACGTGAAAAGTCAGCGGCGATTTTAGATGGAAAGAATTGCACTGAAGCTGTTTTTCTTAAGTTTACGCTAACCGAACAATGTTTTCAGCCAATTTACACCATTTTGTTCTTCATGCGGATGGTCTCTGGAACTTTTACGGGACACGGACCAGGTGGCAGGACCAAGCAGCAGGGCCGGGCGTATTACTGGCCGGAGCCACTATTATTTTGTCATGTAGTTTTTTTATTACTTTTCTTTGGTATTTAATTATTTTTTGGGTATTTTTCCTGCCGTTTTTCGGCAAATGCCTTATTTATAGTTCTTCTAACTAGATTGTTTTATATAGATATATATATATAGGCTATATATTGTGATGTTATCGCTTAATAACCTGTATTAAAATGTATTCTTTATGGGTTTCTTTTTATTGTGATGTTATTGCTTAATAAACTGCATTAAAACTTTTATAATGTCACATTTACTTGATGGAACTTTATCTGCGAATAAGTGGCCTCGGCCGGCAGCAGCCACCATCGGCCTCTCCGATGGCAAGCTCTGCCGGCAGCGGCCACCATCGGCCTCTCCGATGGCAGTCTCTGCCGGCAGCGGCCACCATCGGCCTCTCCGATGGCAAGCTCTGCCGGCAGCGGCCACCATCGGCCTCTCCGATGGCAAGCTCTGCCGGCAGCGGCCACCATCGGCCTCTCCGATGGCAAGCTCTGCCGGCAGCGGCCACCATCGGCCTCTCCGATGGCAGTCTCTGCCGGCAGCGGGCAACAACGGCCACTCCGATGGCAGGCTCTGCCGCAGCCACTTCCACGAATTGAGCTCGGCCCTGCTGCTTGGTCCTGCCACCTTGTACCGTGTCCCGTAAAAGTTCCAGAGACCGTCCGCACGAAGAACAAAATGGTGTAAATTGGCTGAAACTTGCTCCACAATATAGGCAAAACATTGTTCGGTTAGCGTAAACTTAAGAAAAACAGCTTCAGTGCAATTCTTTCCATCTAAAATCGCAGCTGACTTTTCACGTGAAGCAGGAGGACTACAGATTGAGCTGTTTGTACTACAAGTCAGGGTAATCGTGACGTCACATCCGGCCACTGGGACATTCCCTTTCCGTGTAGCCGTCTTTTGTTAATTTGTTTTTGGCTATGTAAATGTGTTTTGCCACTTGCAGTTTTGTCTTTGCACTTGTACAAGTGTTTCCGAACGGTCAATTTTTTTTTAGATGTAAATTTGTTTCCCTATAATGTATTTTTTTTCCTCTAAAATGAAACTTTCTCTCACCTAAAATCTAACTTATTTAAAATGTGAATTTGTTTCCTAAAATGTAAATTTGTTTTTAAAAATTTAAACTTTTTTTTCAAAAATACATTTGTTTCATAAAATATAATTTTGTTTCTTTAAATGTTATTTTGTTTTTTATTTGTTAATGTGTTTTTGAATTGTAAATGTGTTTTTAAAAATTTAAATAAAAAAAAAAAATACATTTGTTTCATAAAATATAATTTTGTTTCTTCAAATGTTATTTTGTTTATTTGTTAATGTAAATTTGTTTGCTAAAATGTAAATGTGTTTTTAAAAATGTAAACTTTTTTTTCAAAAATACATTTGTTTCATAAAATATAATTTTGTTTCTTCAAATGTTATTTTGTTTTTTATTTGTTAATGTGTTTTTGAATTGTAAATGTGTTCTTGCACTTCTCAGCCACCGTAGTTTACAGGGTCAATAAAGAAATATCATTTTGGTTATATTGTAAGCAAGGCAAACACAAGCTTACATTTGATATGGCAAAACAGGGAAGAAAATGTTTCAGGCAAAGAAACTTAAAACAACGCAGTGGCAGGTTTTAAAAAAGGAAATCCACTCAGACACATACACTCTCTACAGAAATAAGGTGAGGATAAACACAACAAACTGAGGTATCAATCAACAGATCAAAAGTGAAATCAGGTATAAAATATTAAATTACCAACATTTAATTACAGTGTGTTGAATCTTAGTCTCACAAGAATGGATTTGTTTTATAAAAAGGACCCATACATCTCTAAAGTAAGACCTCCTCTTGGGAAATCAGATCATAATCTTTTTTTCCTTGCTGAGAGTATAAGCTACTTTACAAGCAACAACCTGCATTAAAAAGAACTTAAATTAAAAAGAAGTCCTGCAAGGTTGTTTTGAGGCTACAGACTGAGGCCCCGTCCACACGAAGTCAAAATGAACACGAAACGCTAATATTTTCCAGAACGTTTGTCGTAAAGACGGAGACGTAAAATAAATG